TCAGTCTCTGTGCATTATGTTCTAGTTCCGCTTCCTGTGTCATTAGTCGGATTATGCTCAGCTGTGTACTCACCGGTCTCCAATCGTCATCATCATCAGTCAGGGTATTTAAGTCCTCAGTTTCCTTCTGTTCACCGTCTTGTCATTGATGTTGTCTACTTCGCACGTGTGTCCAGTTCAGCCGGCCAGTTCAGTCATTTCAGTCTGCCAGTCATCTTGTGCTCTGCTCATCCGTTCGTTATAATAAACTCCATCAACCCTCACCGTGAGTCCTGCGTTTGGTTCCCTTCCTCTCTTCCTCCCATCCACACACGAAGCCCCTGACACATGAAAACTAGCATTAGAAGATGAGTATGCTGTGGTCATATAAGGAGCCACCTGGCTAACAGCAAAAGATGTTGAAAACAATGCTGAGTTGGTTCTAAGGGTCCCAAAGTGCACCAAGAAAATACTACTCCACACCATTACACAACAAGCAGCTTGAATTGTTGCTAGAAGGCAGGATGGATTCATGCTTTCATGCTGCTTACACTAAATTCTGACCATTCATCTGACTGTAGCTGCATAAATCAAGACACCAGGTAATGTTTTCCAGTCTTCAGTTGCCCATTTTGTGGAGTAAATTGCATCTTTAATTTCATGTTTCACCCCTAGAGGTGTTTCTGTGGGGAAATCCCAGAAAATGAATCGTTTCTGAAACAATAAATATTAAATATTTACATTAAAAATTGGTTAAAGAGATATACCTAACAAAATGGATAGTGAGTATATAATCTCACAGTGATCTGGCCAATAAAGGTCATGTTTTAATGAAATTTTAAACAAAATATTTTGTAACAATGAATATCACAAAAAAGATATAGATGATTTGTATATACAGTGCTTAACAAATTTATTAGACCACCACCAAACTAAAATTATTAAATTATATCTTCAAATTTACTGTTTTACAAAAAAAGTATACAATGCAGTAAAGCACATCATTATTTTTTGAATAAGATGCCAAATTACATTTATTTATTTGCATGCCTGAAAATTTGTTTTAGAGGTTGACTTTTATGCTTGAACAACTGAAGACTTCTCAGAGTAGTCCAGTTTGGGTTTAAAGACATGAATTCGGTTCAGTTTTTTCAGATTTCTAAAATATTTGTATTTTTCTTTTCTTTTTATCACAGATGGTCTAATACAGTTTGTTAAACACTGTAAACAGGTGTTTTAATAACTTTGTGTACCACTCGCTCTCCATTTTTTTCTTTTAACTTTTTGAGGAAGTTATTCTGGACCGACATAGGGACCCATCCTGTGGTGGAATGTTCCTCCCTGGAAGGGAGAGACCGTGCCGTCATTGCTAGGACCAACCTTGTGTCGCCCACTGGCCTGACAATTGACTTCACAGAGGACCGAGTATTCTGGTGCGATCAGAGGAAAGGCACAATAGAGACTGCTGCCCTGGATGGTTCAGATCGACGAGTCCTGTCAAAGAACCAAGTAGGTGAGGTTTATGTGAAATGTATATATCTAAAAAAGCAGATATAAATGCATGGGGAATAAGAATTTCATTGTTGTAAAATGAATATGTAAGTTAATATATGATAAGTTACTCTAGGATATATGATAGATAATTAATACTAAGTATAACTGATATAGTACAGCTGTCCTACCTCTTCTTAAGTTAACTTTCTCATTCATAGCATCATCCACAATTCAAATGTGAGAAAATCCAGTTTAACCAGTATCACTGCATTCACAGCTGAACACAAGCGCCTCTCACCTGGAATCACTGAGTCAACTCAGATTTTCTTGCCATCTGCCCTAATTTGTTCCAGGCCAACCTTTTGATCTCGCACTATTTGAAGACAGGCTCTGGATATCTGATCAGGAACGCCACCAGCTGACCAGTGTGCATAAGCGGACTGGGAAAAAATTGCAATGGATCCGAGGGAGCATGGTGCAACCAGCATCTATTGTTGTAGTTCATCCCCTTGCTAAGCCAGGTACGGAGGAACAACCATGATTACAATGATCTAAAAAACAAGTGCCATGCATATTTAGATACATGCAGATTGGACACATGTGCCAATAACAAAAACAAGTGGCACACAGCATCCTTCAGTTCTAAAGAATTCCTGGGCTTTTACTTCTGTCCTGTTTTTTAGGGGCAGATATGTGCCTTCACCTGAATGGAGGTTGTTCCCAAGTGTGTGAAAGCAAGGTGGGTTTTGCCCACTGCTCTTGTTCCTCACACTATATCCTATCAGCTGATGGAAAAACTTGCTTGTCTGTTGGCACTTCAAATGGAACAGCAGGTGATGTATCCTGTGTTCTTTTCTACGCAGTGTAATGTGATGATAGATTTGAATGTTTTCTTTATGTATTAATTTTATAGAATATGGAAACAGTGGATCAGTTGATTTAACACCTCTGAAAAACAAAACATTTAATACTGCGAGCTTGCCACTGACAACTGATGAAGAGGAGACTGATTTTAAATCAGATGTAAGCAGCCAGCCGACTTTCTTCACCGACAAAATGATTTCAGGTAACAGTGCACCTTGAATGGCGTTCTATCCACTCAATCTCTTGCCCAGCCTAAATGTTACGTTTGCATATGCCCCCTCTCTGTCAGACCAGAATGAGTGCTACTCACTCCGCTGTGATGTGAATGCACAATGCCTGCTGAATTCTGGTCACCCGAACTGTTTATGTCAAGAAGGTTTCACAGGTGATGGACAGTTATGTGTGGGTGAGTATACCTTTAATTATACTGGGAATATGCATTAGAGAGATGAGGTAACAGACCCTGAAATAAGCTTACGGGATTACATTTGATACAAGTGAGCTTTTTTTAATCTAGCAGAACTGAGTTTTGGATTTTGAAATAAAATTCAGAGGTAGGGTTGCCCTGGAAGTAAAGGTAATGGTATTATTCAAGATAAGCATTAATGGAAAAAGTCAAAACGTTCAAAAAGTCCTAAAACCATCCAGTAATTCCTCCTATCGTTTCCTTGCAGACCAGTTGAAATGTTTTGAGATTATCAGCTGAGTTTGTTTGCAAAGTAGGAAGCATCGAAAAGACATAGTGTGGCAACTTTATTCAATTAATAAACACTTAACTTTTTTCACTGTACCAGGCCAGGTTATGGAGAATTAAAAAAACAAAAAAACAGTAATTACATTTTATTTAGCTAGTAAATAATGTCACAACATTTTTTCGAAACTTATGATTCTTCTTGTTTGGTAACATTTTAAGTTACAACTTTCAACCTGCTCCTATTTTTGTCCTAGATATTGATGAATGTAACCTGGGAATCCACAACTGTGACAAAAATGAAGAATGTCAAAACACTGCAGGGAAGTATTACTGCAAGTGCCTGGCTGGATACTACAGCGATGGGCAGACATGTCAAGGTGAACGTTTCCTTTTGTTAACATATCCTGGGCCGTATTGGCACATTCTCATCGTCTATCATTATCTTATCTGTGAAATCAGATAGTTAATTTAGATTGAATACAGTGTTTATATGAGTCATCTCTTTTAAGCAGTAGACAATGAATCTAATTTAATGAACTTATATCCTCAATTCTCTCTAGAGTTGGAGTCCACATCACCATGGGTGACACCTGGTACCTCTGCTGATGTTACCACCAAACGCCACAACGGAAATGCAGAGAGTTGTCCTGCAGCCTATGAGACCTACTGTCTGTACCATGGTGTTTGCTTCTACTTTCCTGAATTGGACTCTTATGCCTGCAAGTAAATAAACCCTCTTGTCCTTCTACTTGACCCATGACCCCATCCCACCCCTCATAACTGTTTGTTTTTCAAAGAAGGGCTCACGATATTCATATTAGGGCTGTGCGATACCACATCATGTACAATATTGCAATTATAAATTATTAAATGATATAAGTGTCAAATCATAACACCATTGTATTGTAGCAAAACGCATTAAAATCCCCTAGTGTGCACAACAGGGAAACAAACCATGTCCTGTTTCCCACGGAGAGCAAGACTTAAAACAACATCCAACAATACAGAGCAATTTGAAAAATATGAAATAAAAGTATTACAGTTTAAGGTGAAAACCCAAAAAGGTATCTTAAAAGAGGCAAAAACATACCATCAAGTATAACCTTACTACAAAGGAGTTGATATTAGCAACCTAAATGTAAACAAATGACTCAACCAATCTTTGCTGGTGCACTAAGTGCACTCCATATGACAGGAAGAGCTGATGATGGATGGAAATAATGCAGTTACATGGTGGACATGCACGGCTTTAAGCAGCTGGTTAAAAAGATCGACCCAAGACACAAAATACAACAAATATTTTTTGCTTTTATGTGACATTGTGCAGGGTGCTGAATAGTTACAAGGTTAAATTACTTTAAGTATTGTTAAACTAAAGTGTTAAGCAGTGATTTTAGAGTTTAACTTACAATTTACAAGCATCTCCATACTTTGCTACTTCTGTTCTGTCACTGCTATTTTACTATTATACTGCTGTTGGTACCTCGCTTCAATAGGGTCTCTCTCTTTTTAAACAGAAATATGATTATGGCAAATTCCCTTAAATATTGCAATATAATTATAATAATTATATAATCAAATATTTTCTCAAATATTCAGATATATTCATGCAGGCCCACTGTTAATTAAGACAAGAACGCTTAGGTGAAAAGTCTTTTATGACAGCTGACAAGCAGCAGGTGTCACTGTTGTTCCATGATTAAAGCCCACGCCTCACCAAAGTGTTTACAGCAGAGACAGTCTACTTCTGTCCATGAAATATGGACTTCAAATCAGATTAACAAAAATCTAAATTATGAGTTCTAATGCACAGACTTAAAAATAATTCATAATTTCAGGGGAAAGCTGCAGATAATGTATACACATTCACTTGCAGTGACAACATATTTACTTGATTTTTAATACAAATTATAATGAAAACGTATATTTAGCAACAAAAAAGAACTACTGGTTGAAGAGTTGAAGAACCCCCAAGTGGTATCTGGTAGAGGTCTCTGAGATAGTGGGCAGAAATGTTAACCTGGCACTAGGTATGGATAGGATTGGCCCCGGGATGCTGACAGTTCTGCACATGTTTGGACCAGCTTGTCTGACCTTTTCAGTGATCTGTCGAGTTCTCGGGGGGTACCCTGAGGGGGTAGCTGTTTTTTTCCCCCTCCAGTGTTTTCCAATGATTCTCAGGATTATGAGGCTCATTTGAAAAACAAAATAACTGAATTATTACTGAAGCCAGTCAATTCCATTTTTTTCACTAACCTTATGTCATATAACTCCAAAACCTGTGACTGTAATCTTGCCTGTGTATCTGTTCTATGAAATCCAATCCAGTCTTTCAAAAACTACATTTAATTTGCCAAGGAAGCCCAAACATATAAACACAAAACTAAGCAGTTGCTTAAGCAGTAACAGTTTTTGAATTATAAAGTAACTGGATGTGTTTTAAACAAGTTTGTGTTAAAATATAAATTGTTTGCAGTTAACCAAAAATGATTCCTGGATATGATTTTTTGTCATGCAGTTGTGTATCAGGCTACATGGGGGAACGATGTCAGTTCAGTGACCTGGAATGGTTGGAGCTTCAGCGGGCAGAAAAGGAGAAGAAGAGGAACGTGGTCATTACAGCCTGCATGGTGGTCCTCGTTTCCTTGCTCTCTATCACAGCCTGTGTCACCTACTGCTATGGGTAAGAGAAAAAAGGGAAACGGGGGAAAAAGAAGCAGCAAAAAGTAAAAGGGGAGAAAAAGGAAGGAGGAAAAGAATAGACAATGGGTAAAAAAAATAATAAGGACAATGGAAAAAAATAAAAAAGGAAGAAAGTAGGGAAATCAAAATGATCAAGATATGCTATTCGCTGTGAAAGGATCAAAAGTGACTTCCTAAAAAGAAAACAAACAAACATCCATGAATATTTAACTATTTCCTCACTAAACATACTAAATATACTATTCAATTTGTATGGGTTTTATTAGGCGGGTAAAAATGAGAATCATGTCTTCATCTTGAGGGGCCATCATATGCTTTTCCTAACTGATGGTCAAAAAATAAACCAGGGAGGACCTGCTGCTGTAATGAATGAGCTGACAGCATTTAGAGATGTCTATCAAACCCAAGATGCATGAGGCGTGTAATGCCGGTTTCTCAGTACGACAGCGGGGGGTCAGGGAGCACATCACACGTGGAACAAATGACAGCATGCAACAGTGGTTAGCTGAGCGAAGAGCACACATAAACTACACACTGTGGCCCCTCCTCCTTTTTATTTCCACCTGAGATGTTTCTAAGTAGCTGATTTGTTTTATGGTTGTTTCGCTGGCTTATGGACAAGGCTGTTTGGCATTCTACACTCTTTTGACTTACAAAGCACACTACCTACTACAACCTAACGTTTACACTCTTGGTTCCCCTGTGGAAGTGGCACGCTTTCAATTACATGGTTCGTTTAGCTTGTTCTACAGCAATTACACATAAAAATAGGTCATTTCTCAGCTACAAAATGGAGCCGGTGAGGTATGACCCCAGAGGAAACGCTACATGGCCGCCAATAGCTCTGCCAGAAATTGCCTTCTGCACTTGACTGCAGGTGCACTTGTGCAGTTTTTGAGTTTGGTAGTTTGCTTTCCCCTGTAATAAACACACAGAGAGTACAGAATCACACTGTACACAAGATAGAGTCTAAAGAAACAACTGAAACTTATGAGCACGTAGAGTAAATGCACACACGGCATTCAGATGTATTATCTTTGGTCAACATTCAGGGGGTCAGATATGCAGAAAGCTAAGAAACAAACATTAAATAAATCAAATGTGGTGAAATTATTATTTTATAATGCAGTGATAAATGATGCTGTGAAGGGCAGTACGCAGCACAGACACTCATTTCTCATCATGATGAATTTGAGTACACAACTTCTTTTATAACCTATATAAATCTTCTTTAGGTACCTGACCTTTTATATTTCTGTGAGATAAACTCTCCATGTGTATATTATTCCAAACATAACTTGTGCAGATTTTATATTTGCTTTTCAGAACGAGAAAACGCTTCCGCAAACAGCCATCAGTGGATAACGTGAGTGAGACCAGCATGACGGATGAGAGCATGTCAGAGACAACCACGACCACTGTTCCTCGGGTAAGGCCATTATTACAAAGCTCGGTCATTAATACATACAGTTTTTATGTCATGCAGTAATATAATACATCACTGTAACAAAAAGGACAGTTAAAATTATGTTGTTAATTTCATGATGTGGGCTTTTCGATTATTTGCCAGATGGGGAGAAAGAAAGAAAAAACAGTCAAACATGCCTTGCATTCTCCTTGATGTTGGACTGAAAAGAAGAGCTTGCGAGTGTGTCCTCATTAGGATACATACTAGGGCTGTGCGATATGATAAAATATAGCGGATGACAAAATTAAAACATCTATTGTTTCATATTATACGGACATATAACAGAAGGACCAGTCAAAACAAATCGAGGACCTTATTCCTAAACGAGGGGCTACCTCTGTAGCATGGACATGGTTTGATTATGAAAAGTCTGACACGTACCAGAAAACTGCACTCTGAAAATTATGCTGCAAACGGGTCCCCACCACAGACTCAAGCACGACAAACCTCTTCTACCACCTATGCAAGAATCACATGAAAGAGTATGGAGAGAGTTTACAGATCAGAAGCAAGCTTAGACTCAAACATTAGAACAGGCTTTTCCCAGCAGCACACACCGCAATAAATACTCACAAAGAAAATGCCGGCCGTTACAACTTATATCTCAAAATATACCGTTTCATGCATCGGTCAAAACACTTGACTCCAGGTACATGATGCCCAGCTGAAAACACTTAACACAAGTCGAGTTGCCCAAGATCACATAATTTACAGAAAATGCACTATTTTGTGATATATACTGTTATCGGGGTGAGAAATGTCCGATATCGGGATATGAGATTTTGGTCATATCACACGGCCCTAATACATACTTATGTCAGTGTATGGGACCGTAGCCTAGGGTTTAATTGTAATTATTTTACAAAGCATCTCAGATCAATGTAAAAATAATGGAATGAGTGGTGTAACAAATTACTTTTTACGCAGAATAAATATGTAATGGCAGTTCCCAGCAGTCATAACATTTTTGTTCGCTTTGAAAGTAACATTAAAGATTGCAGTTTAAATCCCAATGTCTTATCAGAATTATATGAAATGTGAATAAATAGATTTTCAATTACTGAAAGCGGAAACTATATACAGAATAAAACTGTCAAGTGACAAGAGTCTATATGAGGGAGCAAATAAAGAGTGATTTTCAAAAGTTAATCTGGAAGATGAATAGCTACGAATCCCAAAGGAATCCCAAATCTGAATGTACAAGGAACACGATATACTACGTTTCTCTTTGCAAGAGCAATTCATGTCCATCACCCACTCTGGGAGTAGGTAGGCTGCCCCCCCCTCAAAAAAAATGCATAAAACTTTTAACGTTTATAAAAACTCAAACATCTTAATGTATAAATCTGCAGTTCTACATTGTGGCAGAAAATGGTGTTGAAGGGAAGGTAATTCCTGCCACGGGCTGTCCAAGGAGAGCTGTGTGTACATCCTGCTCTTCAGAAACAGGTACCTGAAACTTACATTATTCATATTATATGTAAACAACTCCAGTGATTTTTCTAACTATAGTCTAAATTCATTCTTGTACAAGTTTTTTACCAACTGCTTAATTCCGCATTTTTTCCAGGTGCCAATTCTGAAAGTGATGAATCAGGAAAACTGTCCCAGCACAACAAAGGTTACGAGTGTTCCATGGTGTCTGCTGTTGCCACTGGAACAATGCAACCCACTGTGCACCTCTCAAGTCCATCACTGTCAAGCTGTACATCTTTTAAACCAACAACGTTACCCCAGACTTCAGGCCCAGAGTCATGGCTCAATGGAAACAGCGTACAATCAGCTGTTCAG